ATAGAAACAAAGGCATTAGATTGTCCATAATGGTGAGGGACAGCGCCCAGGCCCAGAGTTCAAGCCCCACGACCGACAAAAAAAAAAAAAAAGTATAGGTTTATTCAGGGAAAAGATTTTACTCTAAAAGAATAGTAGACAGGGTACTTGAATTTTAGCTTAGGTTATAAAGAGCCAAAAGAGGAAAAAGTAGCAACTTAAATTAATGGCTCTTAAATTTTAAGTTGTTGGCAAATTGTACCAAGTAGATCATTGGTGAAAGAACGCAAAATTAAGGTTACACAGGTAGCCAGACACCTATGGTTCACACCTGTAATCCTAGCTCCCCAGGAAGCTGAGGACTGATTTGAAACCAGCCCAGGTAGAAAAGTTGTACAGACTCATCTCCAATTAATCTGTTAAAAAACCAGGCTAGAGGCCTAAGTCAGGTAACAGAGGTAACCAGCTAAGCAGCCAAGCAAAGTGTGAAGCCCTAAAGTCAAATGCCAGTACCAAAAAATTATTATACAGGAATAACAAACCAAGTTGGAATAAACTACCCACATTAGGATGCTTTTGAAACAGAAAGGCTGACTAGAAATAATTGTCATCCTGGGAATTTTTTAGAGTTAGCCGAATAATAAGCCATTACCTTACTCTTGAATAGAGTGTTTTAAAATACATTTAATGAACTTACTCATCAAACACAGCAAAGGAAGTTGCAACTGGATGTGTTCTAATATTCAAATAATTTTTCTTCTTTAAATTAACTTGTGCTAAAGCAGTTTCTTCATTTATAGTAACTTCAGGCAGCTGTACTAGAAGAGAGGAAGTATGTAAAGTAAGTCTCTTGCACATAAGAAATAGTTGCTATGTTTCCTTAACGTACATTTCTCTCTATTTGTCCAGAGCATCCTTAAAAAAAAAAAAAAAGTTTTAGAGCTGGGTACCAGTGGCTCATGCCTATAATCCTAGCTACTTAGGAGGCTGAAATCTGAGGATTGAGGTTTGAAACCAATCGGACAAGAAAGTCTCCAAGACTTAAAATTCTTATCTCAGGGCTGGGAATGTGGGTTGGTGGTAGAGTGCTTGCCTACCATGCCTGAAGCCCTGGGTTCCATTCCTCAGCACCACATAAACAGTAAAAGCCGGAAGTGGTGCTATGGCTCAAGTGGTAGCCTTGAGCAAAAAAGCAGTTCAAGAAAAATGCCCAGGACCTGGCACAAGCCCCAAGACTGGCACACACACACAAAAAAAAACTCAAATGCCAGAAGTGGAGGTGTGGCTCAAGAGAGGTACCATCCTTGAGTAAAAAGCTCAAGGAAAGCAGAGCTCAGGCCCTCAGTTTAAGCCCCAGGAGTAGCACCAAAAAAAAAAAAAAAATCAGTTAAGAGTAGCTTTTTTAAGTGTAAGAAATCAAATCAAATACCAAATACCTGCTACTTTCTATATGCCAGGTACTGTTTCAAATATTTCCATCATCTTTCAGTCATCGACAATAAATACTGTCAATCCTATTTTATTACAAATAAGGAAACCTCAGCAGTGATGTAACTAAGATTCAAATTTTAAGTCCTTGCTTTAATTACTGCTATTATTGTAATACTGATGTTACTTACATCTTCTACTCCTATTAGTGAGGATTTTGCTTTTACTTTATGGTTGGGTTTTGGGTTTTGTATTTGAATCAAGGTCTTAATATATAGCCCAAGAACTTCAATCCTCCAGACTGAAGCCTCCAGAGTGCTGGACTTACAGGCATGGGCCTGTAAATTATCTGTACTATCAATTCAGCAATGTAATGACAGGAATATGCACAAGTAATTGAGATCCTGAAAGTCTGCCTAAACTCCTTACTAAGAAACTTGACTATTCAAACTAACATTTAGGCAAGGTGCCTAATATCTTACCCCTGTATCCCAGCTACTCAAGAGGTGGAGATTCGGAGGATCACGGTTCCAGACCAGCTGGGGCAAAAGGTTAGCAAGACCCCATCTCAAAAGAAAAGAAAAAAGTATGATGGCATATGATAGATGTGATTGTAATCCCAGCTACTGGAGGGCATAGGTAGAAGGATCACAGTCCAAAGCCAGCCATGGACAAAAACATGAGATCCTATCTGAAAAATAACTAACACATTAAAGGGTCAGAGGCATGGCTCAAGTAGAGTGCCTACCTAGCAAGCTGGATAACCTAAGTTCAAACACCAGTAGTCCCCACCCAGAAAAAGTTTATGGCCTTACATGTAAGATAATCATTTTTCCTTCTGGCAAAACAAAAGAACCTGAAGAACACTTGTTCCCTGTTTTCTCTAACAACCTATACTAATTAGAATTCTCATTCCCCCATATCAGTACTATTTGGGGAAGGATCTTAGTCCCAACTAATAGATGAATATAGTCAGGGCAACACTGCTAAAAGGCCACATATGTACATGGGGGCGATCATGTCAGTAAGTTCATTATTTTGAAACACATGATCTCAACACATGATCTCAAGAACCTTTAAAGTTTTGAGTGAATGAACTGCAAATGTTTCCTAAAACCAACATTAACCCATTAGGAATACTGCCTTTTATTTAATATTATACTTACCATTTTTTAGAGCCGCTAACAAGGCAAATGTACAGGCATCCAGAATGTTCCCGTCATAGTCAAGGCAGATAAGATCACAGTATAGTACCCAAGCAAGCTAAAATAAGAGATTACATTAAAGCTTCTGATAGGCAGCACATTGCATTTGCTTACATTTAAAACCAAGGCCTAAACACTTGAAGTAGAGGAGATCTACACTCATCCTGCTACATCAGCAAATGAGGGAAATGCTTTTACAAACCCTAATTGAAGCTCAAAATGTACTCTTCCACAGAGACCTTTGTAAGGAAAAGGAAGCTGTAAATACTAATCTAAATCTAATGATTTAGTATCTTAACCTAATCCTGACTTCAACCAGTTTTAGGGTTCTACTATGTGAATTAACCTTAAACGTAGTTGAACAATTAAAAATTATGTGCTATAAGGAATAAAATATGACTTTTTCGGGAGTACTGGGGCTTTACTCAGGGCCTGGGCATTGTTCCTTAACTTTTTCACGCAAAACTGGCACTCTACCATTTGAACCATAGCTCCACTTCTGGCTTCTTGTTGGTTATTTGGAGATAACTGGATCCTTACTTCTCAGCTTCCTGAGTAGCTAGGATTCAGGCCTAAGACACCTGCATAAGCTTCCCTTTTTCTTGAAGGGAACAGAGAATGATAAAGGTAATAATGATAAAGGTAATAATAATTACCTTAATTACCTCAGCTTAAATGATAGCTTGAGATAAGTCAGTTTGTTTTTAGCAGGACATGGTGGTACACACCTTGGAAACTGGGACTATTTAGTAGTTGTAGAATAAGACATGACTTTTTTTAACCTCCAGAATTCCACACAAGCTCTTAACGTCTCCGTATTTTAAGGCTATTGTGGTTGAATTCCCCCACCGACAGACAGACAGACAGATACACACACACACACACTCTCTCTCTCTCTCTCTCCCTCCCTCCCTCTTCAGAATTAGTAAAAGATTGTGGTTACTCTGTACTTTCTTACCTTTCCTGGAGAAATGCACAAGTCTTCTTTCTGAATTATCTGTGAACTTGATTTAATGACAAAGCACAGTAAATGAAAGGTGAGAAAGCATTAGAAAATGAATGCAGTAAAAGGTCATATAGTGATTGTCTTACTTTTCTTTTTTTCATATATTTTTATTGTAAAAAATATTGCACAGAGGGTTACAGTTACATGAGTTAGGGTAATGAATACAGTTCCTATCAAGCATTGTTACCTCCTCCTTTGTTTTTCCCCTACCATCCCTTCCCTCCCTACCTCCCCAACTAGTCTTACTTTTCAATAACATCTGCAATGAACTGGCTAGCCACTTGGGCCTCTTCTCCTGGAGGTCCAGCCCGAAATCGCGATGAACACAGAGGTGGCAGATCCACATTAGGGACTGAAAGAAATACTGCAGGTGAGAACTGAACTTTACCTTCTGGTTCAACTTTAGGTACAGCTAAGGTAATGGTGGCCATGGACATGTAACCTTATGGGGGCTGGGAATATGGCTTAGTGGTAGAGTGCATAGCATGCATGAAGCCTTGGGTTCAATTCCTCACTACCACATAACAGAAAAAGCTGGAAGTGGTGGTGTGACTCAAGTAATAGGGTACTAGCCTTGAGCAAAAAGCTTAGGAACAGTAAGTGCCCAAGCCTTGAGTTCAAGCCGCAGGACTGGCAAAGAAAAAATGTACTCCTTAGGTCTTTTTAAGATTCACAGGCTCAGATGAAAAGAAATGTATGTTTTTCTGATGTTAGGCTTTTATCCTGAATCCATTACAAAAAAAAATTTCTGATTTCTTTCAAAATACCTAAATCTAACAAGCTCTCACCCATTTTTTGCATTTTAAAAAATGTTGGTTTCTCCCAAAAAGAACAGATGATCTAAGACAAGAAAAAGATCATACAGCAATTCAAAATGAACCTATGAGAACAGAATTTCTAATGTTGTATAGATAAACCCTTCACTAAAAAAATTATTTCCTTGGTTTTCCAAGTTAAATTCATAAAATTCTTTATCATTGAATATCACCTGATGCATATACAGAAAACTTTGGGAGCAAGCATTATTCTTCCTGTTTGCAAATTACAAAGATTACCACTATCAGCATTAAATGTGTTAAGGTATTTGTGTTATAAAATTTTCAGCTTACCAATATAACCTTTATCAGGGGCATCTGTTGGTGGTGCTGCAAATTCCTACAGAAGCAAACAAATGAAAGAAAGGAAGAAAAAAAAATTGTGAGGACATTTCGGCCCTAATTATGGAAGGCTTTATCAATGACCTTCTCAGCTACTTAGCTACATCATAAGTACCTGTGCATATGGAGCTGTATCAGGGGTCTAAAGGAAGCTGGCACTGATCCACACAGTAACTAACAACATATAGCAAAGTGGGCCAAGTGCTGCTTACCAACATTACCTGGGGACCTTTTAAATAGCTGGGCTCAGTAGTGCACACTAAGCTAAGATAGGCAGCTCAAATGGGAGGAAGAATCGTGGTCCAGACCAGCTCTGCCTAGAAAACTCAAAAGCCTAGTTAAAACCCCCATCTGCCAAAAACATGAAACCAACTATGCACTGAGCTTGTATCCCACCATCATTTAGAAGCCAAGAATCTGAATATAATTTGTTAGTAACACTGACTCTGCCCTATGTAGGGCCTAGTCGTTAGGAGTAAAAGCTCTACACTTGCTAACCCACTCAGATGGCAGACCCAAACTTTAGTTGTTGAAAGATGTTGAGCAAGTTATTTAAGCTCCCACTTACAAATTCTTCACCTATCAAATAGCAGTGCCTACTCCTAAAGACTACTAATAAGGTCAAAAGAGGTGATGCCATTAGATTGCTAGCATAAAACCTGGCAAGGAGTAAGTGTTCAACCCTCACTAGGTATCATCTCAACTTTGGTTAAGAAACAATATAATGTAGTCAAAAATGTATGCATAGACTTTAGAACCAGATTTGTGTCTGGGCTCTACTTACAAGCCTCATTACCTGGACAAGTTACTGAACCTCACCTGTTGAACAAAAGATGGAAACTGGATAATTCTGTAAAGCACCTCGTCAGGTGTCTGAAACAGCTAGAACTTAGAACTACCTACTATTCCTCAAACTTCTCTTTCAAACGTGTGTGTGTCAGTGGTGGAGCTTGAACTGGGCCTGGGCGATGTCCTTCAAGGTGAGCGCTCTACCGCTTGAGCCACAGCACCACTTCCAGTTTTCTAGTGGTTTGCTGGAGATAAGAGTCTCACGGACTTTCCTGCCCAGGCTGGCTTTGAACCGTGTTCCTCAGATCTCAACCTCTTGAGTAGCTAGGATTACAGGCATGAGCCACCAGCACCCGGCTCAAACAGTCTCAAAAGGCCATCACTGGCCAAAAGGACAGCACCATAAGGTGTTAATTCCTGAAATGATTTAACTACATTCTTCTGTATGTGCCCCAGTACAAGGATTTGAACTCACGGTCTCATGCTTGCTCACAACTGGCACTCTGCCACTTAAGCTACATCTCAAAAAAAAAAAAAAAAAAAAAAGTCTAGCTGTTTTTTATTTGCTGGTTAATTATAGATAGTATCAGACTTTTCTGCCCAGCGTGGCTTCATATGTTGAACCTCCAGGTGTCAGCCTCCTGAATAGCTAGGATTCTAAGTAGGAGCTGCTGGCACCTGTCATATTGTTACTATTTTAACGCAGCAGCACTTCAGTCATCTGAGGATGTTAGTAAAAATAATGGCAAGTACTGGAGGTGTGGCTTAATGGGAGAGCACCTGCCTAGCAAGTACAAAGCCCCAATTTCAAATTCCAGTACCATACACATATACAAAATCAACAATAGAAATTAATCAACAATAGAAATATAGATATATATATTATAGTCTAGTAGATATTTGAAACTCATTTGGTAACTCAAATGTCAAGAGGCCATCTAATATAAATTATTAAACCTACCGCTTTAACTCCACAAATTACTGTTGTATTTCCCAGCTTGACTAAAGCAGAACCATCTGCTGTAGAAATTGAACCTGAAAAGTACGGCATTAAAAAAAAAACACTTTTTTAATGGATAAAGGGCACAGAATTATCTACTCTTTTTGTTTGCTGTATATTATTATCTAGCTAGCTACACATCTCAGTTGCCTATGAAATTTCATTCCAAGTTTAAGTTGTTGGTTCTGAAGCAGTATTGCTATTTAAAACTAATGTTTAAGAATAATTTGCTCTCCATGAATCTGAGCTAATCATGTCTTAATCAAAGAGCTGTTGTACAGTCAAAATTTCTAACACAAAACCATCAGATCCCACAGATGTGGTAGAATTTGCGGGAAAAACTGCTTTAGTGGCACGGAAGCTGAAGTGTGGGGTATCATAGATGGGAAATAAAAGCAGATCTTACCTATGTTGACTGTTGTGGTTCTAAATTCACCCAATTCCCTTCCATCAGGACGGCAGTTTTCTTTCTAAATGATTTATTTTTAAAAAAATTATATATAGATATATGGTAAACAAGGGGAAAGGGAACCTCATTCAGATGAATTAGGTGAAATTTGCTCTAAAAGCCTCATCTCAAATTGTTATTAAAATGTGGCTCAAGTGGTAAGAGTCCCAGCCTGAGTTCAGGCCACAGAACCAACACCACCACCAACAACAACAACAAAAAGGCATAAACTATGTACTCACGAGAAATCGCCTGTAATACTCCAGCGGTTCCACGGTCCTGAAACATGTTAAAATGATATCGACGTTAATGTGCCTAAATATAAACCCACAACAACTAGCACCGGGTATGGCATACATGTCCACAACCTGTACCTGACTTTTCATTATGAATCGATGGCTATGTTGCTATTGCTAAGTAGTTATAACATGTAGATACCCTTTTTGTAGCAATCACTCAAGAAGATCCGAGTCCCAAGCCCTTGCAGCATTTTAAGAAGGTTAATCCGGGTGTTAAAATAAGTCACAGCATTCCTGTTCTGAAACCAGACGCAGGGAACTAGCACGAGCGAGCAAGCTGTAGCAGCTGAAATGCATTATGCTTGCATGATGACTGCAGATGCCACAAGCCACAACACGGGCGGCACCTGCAACCTGAACCACTTCAGGGATCATGGATGTTTTCCTCTTTTTAGTTGTGGGGCTAGGCCGGAGATCTTGCTTTCTGAAAGTTAGTTTAAGAGGTATCTACTTCAGCATCGTGGGCTTCCTTTGGAATCTTAGTTCTAACTTCTTGACAGTCCGTGTGGCTTCACCAGAGTGAAACAAAAAACAAACCAGCCACCACCACCACTACCCCCTGCCAAAGAGGATGGGTTCTACTGCGGCTGAGCTATCGGAGGCGGGGACGCGCCCACCCGCGCGCGCACGCGGCCTCTGCGCGCCCCCGCGGCCTCTGCGCGCCCCCGCCTCGCCCGCGGCCCCGCGCTCGCGGGGGCGGCTGCACCAGTCCGACCCGCTCTCTCCCGTAGGAGAGGCCGCTTTCCCCGGCCGCTTCCCTGGGCGCCTTCCCGCCAGCTGCCTCCCAGCACGGATCCGAGCAGAGCCGGCCTCGGAGTTAAAAGGTCACAGCTAAGGATTAACGACGCGACAAGGACCCAACCCGAGGCCAGAGGCCGCCGACACTCACTTGAACCCTGCCGCCATCTTCCCGCCCGCGCGCCGCGCCTGCGCACACCGCCGCTGCCGCAGACGCAGCCGCACTTTCGACACGGAAGCGGGCCTGCTTTGCCGAAGGCCGGGCCGCAATGGGACTGCCTCCCGCCCAGGCTGGCTCCCCCAGGCCCCCCCTGGCTCCAGTCAAGTACCCGGGCCGGACACGCCTCTCCGGTTCTCTAGGTCCGGGAGGTATTCTGACGAATCTGCTGCTAAGTGAATCGGGACAAACGGAGGCCAGCAGTTTGGTGTGTGCAGCAGTTTGTGTTGGGTGGAGAGCATCCTCCTAGTGTTGCTGCACCATTCCCTGGATCTTCCAGTTCCTCCTCTATAACGTTCAATCTCACACTAGCAGACCTTAGCAGCCTTGACCCCAAGCCATGAGGGTAACGATCAGTAATTACTGATGAGTGATCGACTGGAGGAATCAGAAAGTTGTAGAGATGACGATGAGTACTGCACAGCTTTATGGTTGTAACTAACACCAGTGCACTGCACCCTTAAGATGGTTTAAATGATTAGCGTTCTATGTTACAGCTGGTATGTATGTATGTATCAGGCCCAGAATGGAACGCTCTGCCTGGGGAGGGAGCTTTCAGCCAAGCCAAGGTGATAGTGACCAGCCTGTGGACAAGCACATGGAGCCGACGTGTCGTGCTTTTTGCGGTGAATCAATTAAGTCTTGGCTTCGCGTCGCCGCCGAAGTTCCGCCTGCGTCTCGCCTCTGCTGCCGCGCGGGGGCGCTGTGTGGACGGGGCGCCGGTCTGGTCGAGGCTGGGCCTGGCCGCCAGGGGACGCTGCGGGCGGCGGGCGGGCGTCCTCCTCGCGGCGAGGGGGGTGGGGGGCGGGGCCCCGCGGCGCGCTTCCGCGTGTGTGTAGGTGCGGGATAGGGTGCGGGGCGGCACGGGCGGGCCGGGCTCCGGCGGCCCCGCAAGGAGGATGGCTCCGCTCCTGCTGCAGCTGGCGGTGCTCGGCGCGGCGCTGGCGGCCACCGCCCTGCTACTGGTGAGGACCGGGAAGGGGATCCGCGCGGCCTGCACGCACGTGGCTGCGCCGCCCGCCCTTGGCGGGGATCCTGGGCCCCCCTGCTTCCCTCGTCTGCCCCGAGGCTCCTCTCTCGTGGCTTCCCCTCCCGCCTCTCCTTCGGTGCCGGGTCGCCCGGTGTGCCCGGAGCCTGGACACGCGGCCGGACACCTGGCCTTGCATTCTGCTCCCTGGCCCCAGGCCTGCAGCCTGGACCGTTCCTCCTCTGTCCCCGCAGCGCACGCGCTCGGGCACGCCGCGGGGAGCGATCCGCGGGTGGACGCAGGGTGTGCAAGACCGGCCCCCGGCTGCGTCCCACAGCCAGACACCCTCCTGGCTCTGACACACAGACAGAGCCTGGTCCGTGCTGGCTGATCGCGGCGGGGGCGGGTGCAGGGGGTGAAACACCAGGTTGAGTTCTCTGCCCCTGCACCTTGCCAGGCGCCTGTGGGTGAGCGAGCAGACCGCAGCCTCCCGGGCACGCGTGGGTCCGCTTCCCCCGAGGGCTTAGAAATGGACGGCTGGGGGACAGTGGCAGCTGGGGCAAGATGATGCCCCTGGCGGCTCCGTTGGTCTGTGGGGTGAGAGAGCAGGCCTTTTTCTTCCTGGTGTGTCTTCCTTCAGGGGTTTTTTTTTTTAGGGTGGGGGGACAGAGTTTGAAACAGCCCCAAATTGAGACTGCCTTGCTTTGAATCTGTGCCCCAAATTCACAGGTTGTTCTGACAGAAGAATGTGATTCTCCTGGCTTGACAGTAAGGTCATTGACTGTGCACTACAGGTGGGAATCGTACTCACCTTTGGATCTTTGGAACAGCATAAAATGACATTAAGTGATGCTGTTAGTTTTATTTTACTGGCTAGGATGCAGGTTGGAGAAATATATTTAAAATAATAAAACTTATTTCCTAGTCACCTATTGTTCATACTTTTTCCCATCCTATTTATTTCCTTTATGAATTTTTATTGGTGGTGGTGGGTCTTAAACTCAGGGCCTGTGCACTGTCCCTGAGCTTTTTTATTTTTATTTTTACTCAAGGCTAGTGCTCTACCACTTTGAGCCACAGCTCCACTTCTGTCTTTCTGGTTGTTTAATTGGAGATAAGAGTCTCATGGACTTTTTTGCCTGGGCAGACTTTGAACTGCGATCCTCAGATCTCAGCCTCCTAAGTAGCTAGTTGGATTATTAAAGAAAAAGATAAAAACAGTAGCTGTAAACCACTAGTATTTATTTACCACTAGTATTATGCCTGTAATCCTGGCTACTTAGGAGACAGATCTGAGAATTGAGTTTCAAATTCAGCCCAAGCAAAAAAATCCATGAGACTCTTACCTTCAATTAACCAGCAGAAAGCCAGAAGTGGTGATGTGGATCAAGTGGTAGAGCACCAGCCTTGCAAAAAAGCTAAGAAACAACATCCAGGCCCTGAGTTTAAGCCCTAGCACAAGTGTGCTCATGCACACACACATACACACAAACATACACAAACACTTTGAAATCTGCCATAAAGTGCAGGATCTTTTTTTAAGTAGTTGTACAAAGGAGTTGCCATTTAGCAAAGCAATTTATGTATATAATGCATCTTGATCAAGGTCATCCCAAGTGCAGATTTTCTTAAGTATAGCTACACTTCTGTAAGTTCAAACACCCTATCAGTTGAAATGCCTTCAGTTGTCCCACATGTCTTTTTGGTTTGTGGTGGTTTTGTACCAGGCCTGGAACTTGAACTCAGGGCCTGGGGGCTGTCTCTGGTTTTCTTTTGTTTTTTGGTGGGGTTTTTTATTTTTTGCTTAAGGCTAATTCTCTAACCTAAAAAATAAAACAAAAACAACAACTCTGTGCTTGAGGAGGGTAGGGAAATCCCCTTATTTCCTCTGGTCATGTCTGTAGGATTTCTTAGAGTCTGGAATCCTCATGCCTTGAGGCCTTTTAAGTACATCTTCCTCTGTGCCACAGACTTCCTGTAACCTGCTTGGTGAGAACTGGAGACTTAATTAAATGCATGTTTGCGTTTTTAATGAATGACAACATGTGAAGGATGTTGACTCCTTTTGTGTCTGAAGCGAATGACAGCTAGATGTATCTGGTGTGGAGTGAGTGGCTTCATTGTTGCCATCCTGCCCTGCCAGCTAAGACATTTGCCATCAAGCAGTGATTTTAATGATTCAGTGATTTTTAGCAGTCACTCATGGCCCTTACCTAAGAGTTGCGAAGTGGAATTCTTCCCTCGTATCATTCATTCTTCACTTTATTTTCTAAAACTTTATAATGAAAGAATCTCAGCCTCAACTATCTGGTTACCTTAAAATACTTTTTATATATAAAAGCCCATTTTAAAAGAACGAAGTTGTTCTCCTAAAAATAAATAAATAAAAGTGACCTGTTTTGTTTCTGTATTTGTGCCAGTACTGGGGCTTGAACTCAGGGCCTGGGTGACTCCTTAGTTTTCTCACTCGAGGTTGGAACTCTACACTTGAGCCATAGCTTTTATGGACTTGCTGCCCAGACTGGCTTCAAATCACAATCCTCAAATCTCAGCCTCCTTAGTAGCTGGGTTTTGCAGACCTGAGCCACCAGCTTATAGCTAAAAAGTGACCAGTGTTATTATTACAGTTCATGGTTTAAATGTTTGCACTGGTTTAATCTAGTATGTAATTCTTTTTCATACTGAAGTCCTCTATCCTAGGCCAGCAGAAATACCTTGAAGCTGACTTTTTTTTTCTTTTGGCACAGCTGTGATCATTGCTAATAGATGTGCTTTCTGGTTTGATGCTGTTCTGCTGTTGTAGGTTTCTTGCCTCAAACCTGAATCAGCCATCCTTTTAGGAGCACCAGTTGCTATTAGTGGGAAATGGAATTCAGGCACCATAGTACAGACACCAGAAGTGCAGTAGGACCTTAGCTGCTAGTATGGCCACTGCCCCTAGACAATCCAATAATCAGAAGTCTGGAAAGTTATAATAACCATCCATATTCAACTGGTAAAATTCCTAAAATTTACAGAACGGCTATTTTCAAAGCAGACAGCATACCAACAAGAACAATATTATAATGAATGGTTTATCTCCAGAGCTCCCAAGTACAGATAGAAAGGAAATTGCACAAGGTTTGCTTTGATTTGGTTCTTTGCTGGTTCTGAGCCTTGAATTCAGTCCATTGACTTCTTTGGCTCATTTTGCTTATGGCTGGCATTCTACTTACTTGATCCATACCTCCAGTCCAGATTACAAGTTTTATGCCTTATACCAGAACATTTGTGGGTTCAAATTTGAGATAAGTATAAAATATAGTCTTCCTGTCATGGGGGGGGGGGGACAGTCAAAGGCTAGAAGCCTGGGAAAGGAAAGGAAAGAGGCTAAAGTATCCTGAAGCATTAGCATCTACCTAATGGAACAAAGGACAATTGGACAATCTCATCAGGTCATGAGAGGGACTCAGGAGGGGACTGGCTAATTTTGGAGTCACCTCTGGACCATTATTAATGAACCCAAAAGTAAGAATGAATATTCCACTAAGAAAAAATGTGTAAATGATAAAGTTCTATTTCGGGCAGATATTTTTAAAAGGTCAGCATACTATAATTTTTTTTTACATGCATCTCTGCTTCTAGATTTCAGTTGTTGCATTTGTAACTGCTACCAAAATGCCCGTAGTCCACCAACATGAAGAAGAAAAGTTCTTCATAAATGCCAAAGGCCAAAAGGAAACTCTGCCCAGTATCTGGGACCCACCGACCAAACAACTTTCTGTTGTTGTGCCTTCATACAATGAAGAAAAACGCTGTAGGTACTATTTGATTTTTTTTTTTTGTATGTGTGTCTGTCTTGGCATGGGAACTAAGGTGCTCTCTTAACTTTTTCTACTCAACACTGGTGCTCTAGCACTTGAGCCATACCTCTTCTGCCTTTTGCTGGTTCCTTGTAGATAAGAGTCCCTTGGGCTTTCCTTCCAGGGTTGACTAAGATCTTCAACTCTCAGCCTCCTGAGTAGCTAGGATTCTAGGCATGAACTACTAGCACTCACCCTTGATTTCTTGATACGGGGTGATTTGGGAAGAAAAGCAAATTTAAAGCGTGGGACTTCACTGTGTTTGAAGATACAAGTGGGGGTGAGAGCCTGGTTGGTAACTGGCATTCAAAATGGAAACGTTTGTCTGAATAGATAGATACAGCATTCTGATGTATGGAACTAAACTGTTATGGAAGAGTGGCTCAATTGGCACAGACCTACCTATGATATGCAAGATATTAACAAAGCAGACATTCCAGATGTGAATAGACCTGGGGGAGCATTCTAGAAGGACTCGTTAGATTACTGAGACCTTCTTCCCTATGTAAATGGAGTGTGCTGAGGCCTGCTAATCCATTTTCAAAAGCCATCTTTGATGTGTTTTTTTCTTCAAGTGCCTGTGATGATGGATGAAGCCCTGGGCTACCTGGAGAAGAGACAGGTACCATGCTTTCTCTTCCCCTGTGATTTCTCTGGTGCAAACCAATCCAGGCTCCCAGCCGTGGAGCCCCAGTCACACATACTGTGGGAGGCAGGCCCAGCCGACCCCTGACCCCTGGCTGCCCTGGAGGTCAGCAGCCGCATCAGTGGGGAGACCCAGCACGTAGTAGCCAGCACACACCAGGAAGCTATAGAGTTTGTGTGACAGCACAAGGCTAGCTTTACTTCTATGACCTTTTTGAAAAGACTTTTTTTGGTAAAGTTTCCAGCTTTAGCATCATCTTCATATTTTTTAAGAGTTCATATTCCATATTGCTCTTTAAGATTCCTAAATGTTAAGTAGACCTTAAGTCTATATGGATTGATTGATACAAAATTAAAATCTAGCCAGGTGCCAGTGGCTCACGCCTATAATCCTACTCCTTGGGAGGCTGAGATCTGAGGATCATGGTTTGAAGCCAGCCCAGGCAGAACATTATTTCCAATTAACCACTCAAAAAGCAGAAGTGGTACTGTGGCTCAAGTGGTAGAGCACTGACCTTGAGTACAAAGAGGCTCAGGGAGAGTGTCCAGGCCCTGAGTTCAAGCCCCACAACCGACCAAAAAAAAAAATTACAATCTAAAATAAAAATTTAATTAATTGAGAAAATTAAAATACAATAAATACTCTAAGGGAAAATTATTTTAACTACCAATCTAAATTTTTCCCATAGTCACCTTTTTTTTTTCTTTTTTATCTGGTTGTTGGGCTTGAACTTGGGGCCTGAGCGCTATCCCTAAGCTAGCACTCTACCATTTTGAGCCACAGTGCCACTTACGGTTTTCTGGTAGTTAATTGCAGATAAGATTCTCACAGACTTTCCTGCCCGGGCTGGCTTTGAATCATCCTCAGATCTCAGCCTTCTGAGTAGCTAGGATTACAGGTGTGAGCCACTAGCACCCAGCTCAGCCACCATTATTGATTTAAGAAAGAACTGTATATATAGAACTGTATATATATATATATATGACCTGTATATAGTCATATATAGTTATATATATGCATGTAGATACGTATATGTTCATATATAGCTTGGATTACAGGCCTGAGCCATTTGCACCTGGCTTCCAAATGTAAATTAAAAAAAAAAAAGAAGTGAATGGAACCTTGTTCCATGTAGGGTTTCAGACTCTGCTGTTACAGGGAGTCTCATCAACCACATGGGTAGAAATGGCCCAGAAAAGCCAAGGGGCCAGAGTTGTGCTGCCAAGAAGTGGTACAGCCCAGTTGGCATCTGTCTCCACCTTCCACCTCCTGTACTTTTCCTCGTGAATTGTGACCTGTGCCTTACCATCGCAGGTGCCTGGCCTCTTCCCCCACTATGCTGCAGAGCAGGTCAGGGAGAGGATGCGCAGATTTACTTTAGTCATTGTGCTCCCTCTTCTACCCAGTGCCTAGCCTTTCTGTTCTTGTACACTAATTTTTATGTGCACTTATATATATATATATATATATATATATACACACACATATATATGTATATATCATATATATACATCAACATTAAATGACTTTTTCAAATGACTTTGTCGTGGTGGCAATTACACCAGACTATGGTATCTCAACTTGTTTCTTGCAGAAACGTGATCCTTCATTCACATACGAGGTGCTCGTCGTTGATGATGGCAGTAAAGACCAGACTTCGAAGGTGAATGCATGGGCTTTTACACCTGCCTGTAGGTAGAAAATACAGAATCATCACTTATATCTGTGAGGTCCTATCACCACCCACTGACGCAAATTAATTATGTATTTTAATTATGTTTGTATTTAATTATGTATTTTTAATTATGCATTGATGTGTTTGTATGCATTATGTGTTTATGTTCTTTCTGGTAATTTTATTTAGGGGGTACATTGTAACATGAGGTTACTGTCTACATACACTCATATGTATACATACCTCCTTTATGTACTAATTCAGGTCAGGATAAGAAATATATCCGTGACTTCCATTTTCCAAACAGATTAACTTCTGACTGTGATATTTTTTGACAGGTAGCTTTCAAATACTGCCAGAAATATGGAAGTGACAAAGTCCGAGTGCTAACCCTGGTGAAGAATCGCGGGAAAGGTGGTGCTGTTAGGATGGTAATCTTCACTCTCCATCCTTGTCTAGAGATATTTTCAATTGTTTCTTTTGAAGTCTGTAATATATGTAGTCAAATATGAGCACTAAGTCCTGGAAAAATATATTTTATGTTTGTTATGTTAATGCTATGCTAATACTGACACATGTCTCCAGTATAGTTACTAAAGGAGGTTATATGCTTTTTCTTTTTTTTGCTATCCTTGAGCTTTTTCTGCTCAAGTCTAGCGCTCTTCTACTTTGAGCCACAGCTCCACTTCTGGTGGTTAATTGGAGATAAGAGTCTCACAGACTTTCCTGCCTGGGCTGGCTTTGAACTGTGATCCTTAGATCTCAGCTTCCTGAGTAGGTAGGATTGCAGGTGTGAGCCACCCAACATGGCTTTGCTTTTTCTTCTTACTGTTCAGGACATGCTTCTGTGCATTCAGTGTGGCCTGTGAGAAGCATTAGTAAGCATAGTAACAAGAATTCAGTTCTATCCTGAATTGATGCACCATTCCATAGACAAGATAAACACATGCAAAGGTGGGAAGGCAGACATTTACACACAGGAGAGATACACAGAAGCGCTCAGAGGCCCCAAGCCGAAGAGCTTCCTTTCAACTGTGGCCCATCATGTAGAAAACTGAATGTAAGCTCAGTTAGCAAGATGTCTGAAAGCCAACCCAAGTCATAGTTCCTTAATGACTTACAGGTTTATACATGTATTTTGCCCCCATAAGAAGCCTAGAGGTAGCCAGTCCAGGACTGTGTTCACCAGTTCCATGGTGGCATCAGAAGCTCAGGTTCCTCTCTTTCTACTTCCTCCTCCTCACACACACACACAGTTATTGCTGGAGTGATAGCCATTGTGTCCACATTCTCAACAGGATAGGGGAAAGGTGTGTGTCAACTAGCTTGCCCAATTCTCCCAGAAACTCTCTACCCAATACCTTTTCTTGCATCTCATGGGCCAGAGCAATATAACAGGATCACATTTTTGTTTTTCTGACATTTTCATTCCTAATCCTGATTTTTTAGGGTTCCATCAAAAAGGAAGAAGGAAAGATTATTTCTTGAGTAGTAGCTAGCAGTCTCGGCCCACATGGAAAAAGTAGCCGACTTCATAGAGGAGAGCCAACCATGGTAAACCCAGGCTTTCATTTCCTGATTGCTTATTTTGATCTGGAGAGTAAATGAACCACAGCACCATAACTGTCACACATAATCCCGCCATGTCTCGTGAGTTAGGGCCTGTCATTTTGATTATACAGGTGAGGAAAATGAAGCTCAGATAGGTAAAACAACTCAAAGTCACACAGCCATTCAGAGGGAGATTCCAAACCAGCCCGACACATACCTGTAAATACACAGAGCTTGAACTCAATAATCAGTACTGAGACTGCAATGAATTTAACTATAACTTTATGACACTTCTTCCTTTTACTTAAATTTCCTAAATGCAGGGTGTGTTTAGTTCTCGAGGAGAAAAGATCCTTATGGCAGATGCTGATGGGGCCACAAAGTTTCCCGATGTTGAGAAGTTGGAAAAAGGATTAAATGATCTCCAGCCATGGCCTGTGAGTACAAGAATATGGTGAAATGACATTCAGTCAGGGACACCAGTATTCTATGGTGAAATATACATAGATTTCACTTAGGAGTTTAATATTCAGGGGGCTTTTGGTATAAGAGTTATCAGTGTTCACTCAGAAAAAAGAATACAGTAACATAACATTCAGTTAAGAACATAAAGAGATGGGACTGTGGCTCAAGTGGTAGAGTGCTGGCCTTGAGCAAAGACAGCTCAGGGACAGTGCCTACTCTCTGAGTTCGAGCCCCAGGACCAACACACACACACACACACAGAATTCTACTAATGGCTAGATGCTGGTGTCTCACACTTGTAATCCTAACTACTCAGGAGGCCAAGATCTGAGGATCACGGTTCAAAGCCAGCCCAGGCAGGAAAGTCAGTGAGACTTTTACCTCCAATTAACCAGCAGAAAACTGGAAGTGGCGCTGTGGCTTAGGTGGGAGAGTGCTGGCTTTAAGCAGACGGCTCAGGCCACAACCAACAAAAATATACATAGAACACAAGTGTTCTAAGTGAAATTTACAGAGATTCACCTAGGAGTTTAGAATTCAGGGAGTTTTTGTAAAAATTAACAGTGTTCTCCCAAAGAAAAGTAGTGATTTCCTAAGTTACTATACTGTTGGATATACAATATTCTAGGCATATCCTCTCTCTTGACTCCTGAGTTTTTAACTTCTGCTAGTTTTGATTCAAATTATGCATATTCAATGAAGTCTTTAATTAAAAGCTCAGCTTTTGTCAAAAAGTGTAGCCTGAGACTTCCAGGTGAAAATGTGAAGTGAAACTGAATCATAGAATCTTGGAAGATGCTTTGGGGTTTTCATTTGCTTGTGGGTTTGGTTGGGTGGTGGGAAGTGGTGGTGCTGAGTCTTGAACTCAGGGCTTCATGCTCTCACTTAGCTTTTTCACTTAAAACTGCTTTCTACTACTTACACCACAGCTCCACTTCTGGCTTTTTTTTCAGGTTAATTGGAGGTAAGAGTCTTTTATATTTATCTGACTAAGGTGGCTTTCAACCTCAAATCTCAACCTCCTGAATTCCCAGGATTATAATTGGGAGCCTCTGCACCTGCCTGGAAGGTGTCTTTGTGATTTTTGGTTTGGGTTCTGTCCTCAGCGCTCTCCACCATACCCCACATACACAAGTCACTGTGGTAAATATGAACTTGGTCAATCAAGACCTTGAGTGCCACTCAAGAAAGAGCAGAGGCCAGGTGCCAGTGGCTCACGTCTATAATCCTAGCTACTCAGGAGGCTGAGATCTGAGGAACATGGTTCAAAGCCAGCCAGGGTAGGAAAGTCCATGAGACTCTTATCTCCAATTAACCACCAGAAAACCAGAAGTGGTGCTGTGGTTCAAGTGGTGGAGCACTTGCCTTGAGCTGAAGATCTGAGAGACATCACCCAGGCCCAGAGTTCAAGCCCACGACCAACCAAAAAAAAAAAGAAGGAGCAGAACTGGCTCTCGAGATGGGGCCTCTAAGTGCCCCCTGCAATTCAGATGCCATGCCCACCTTTTTAGGGCTATTAGAGAAAGAAGAGAAATCAACCAAATCCTGAGCTTTTTAACAAATACATCCCAGTTTGCAAAGTACCTTGGATAGCACCAAACAATGAAGCTACCCCATCATGCATCACCCTTCAGAGTCAGTGTGGTTTTCCAGGTGCCCTCTTTATTTTAGGTGGTCAGTAGTTCTCTGAGTTTTTATACAGAGCATCTTTCAAAAAAAAATGTTTAACCCTGGTAATTTTCCAGTAAAGAAACATCAATGTGTGTGGGTTTGGTTGGCACAATAGATTACTAATTCACACTGCCAATTCTTCTTCATATACCATGCCATTGGCACCCCAAGATTCATTGGAATCTTATACTGGTTCAGGTGATTTCTTTTTTGCCAGTCCTGGGGTTTGATCTCAGGCCTAGGTGCTTGCTGTCTCTGAGCTGCTTTTGCAGCTTATAGTAATGGAAGTATGGCTCTTTATTCCAATTAAACATCAGCTTTTGGGTTCTAGTCTTTAGGACAATGTTATCCCCTTCTCAATAACTTAAACCACAAACTTTACTATATGCCTGGGACATACTCCTCTAAGCCCTAGAAACAGTCACTGGAATAGTTCTGAAAATAATTAACTTTGATTCCTGTTTGCATTTACATATCTGACTCACTAGATGGCAGTAGTTCCTCTCAATATTATTTTAACTAACTTTCCAGTACAGTACTCCAAATTTTCAGTGACTTCTAATGTCTTTTCTTCTTCGCTGATTTCATTTTTTTTATTGTCACACATACACACAAAATACTACTATTTCTTACCTCTCTTTCCTCTTACACTAACCAAGTCACATGTTCTGATCCAATTATTCTTGAATGGTCAACTTAGAAAAGTCACTTACAGACCAGGTGCCAGTGTTTCATGCTTGTAATCCTGGCTACTCAGGAGGGTTAGACCTGGATGATTGAGGGCCAAAGCTAGCTGGGGTAAAAAAGTTCAGGAGATTCCATCCCCCATTAACGAGCAAAATGCTGGAATGGAGGGAGGCATGATGCACGTGGTAGTAATATGTAAGCTGAGCAAGCAGCCCTAAATTTAACATACACACACACACACACACACACACACGTGAAAAACAGGAATCAACTTAGATTTGACCCACATGGGTGACTTTTCTATGGCTATGATCATTTATGCTGCCCATGGAAAATTTCAGAAGTTGAATAAACTGATGATTATCCAGAGAAAAAACTGTTTTTGAGATAATGCAGTACTGTGATAGAAATATGTACTAGTTTGTAAGATGTGTAGAATCTGTGTCCCAATAATTCCAGGTGGAGTGGGATAGTAATGTCAGCTATAGTGGTTTTAAATGCAGAGAGGAAACACATTGAAATATGCAAAACTATATGATACATTGTCTGCTTTTAACTGGCAAAGTGTAATGCATGGTTTTCTTTTCTTTTTTCTGTTGGTTGTGGGCCTGGGCGCTATCCCTCAGCTCTTCAGCTCAAGGCAAGTGCCCTACGACTTGAGCCACAGCGCCACTTCTGGTTTTTTCTGCTTATGTGGTGCTGAGGAATCAAATCCAGGCCTTCATACATGCAAGGCAAGCACTCTACCACTGTGCCACCTTCCCAGCCCGCGTGGTTTTCTTTAAATACAGTTTCTTCCCTAGGCACTGTGGGCTTGTGCCTGTTATCCTAGCTACTCAGGAAACTGAAATTCAGAGGATGGGTTTGAGGCTAGCCAAAGCAGACAAGTTCTCTAAAATTCATCTTCAAAATAACTAGCAAAAAACAAGGCTGGAAAGAGACCTGGTTCAACTAGTAGAACACTAACTGTACAAGCAAGCAAGCCAAGAAGCAATCCCAGGGTCTTACATTCAAACCCATGTTGAACAGTGTAATTGGAAATAGAACCGTACTGATTCCTCCTTCTTGCACAGCTTTTAGCCAGGCCCTTTGGACAGACAGACATGAGTTTTTAAAATATTAACCTTGAATGAAAGTCACTTTATCCATATGCAAGCATTTGTATTTGTTAGGAAACTGGTTGAGACAGCTGTATGTATAACTCTGATAAGTGTTTTCCATAGAGAAAGTGCAGGCAGGCAGTGTGGAGACACTGATAGGGTTTGTTTGCATTGCTGTTGGTGTAAATTTAATTGCGGAGCTGTTGAGTTGTTTTCATTTCCTCTTTTATGAACTCCATGTTCAGAGAATTGGTCTTTCTAAATTGAATCATTGGGTACTTTTTAGAACAGTGTGTAGAAGCCCTCTCTGCATTTTAGAAGTTAATCTTTTATCTGTAATATCAGTTGTCAATATTGTCCCTCAAGTCAGCTGGCCTGGAAGTCAGTGCATAGCCCAGGTTGGCCATGAACTTGAACTCCTCCACCTGGGCCTCCTGAGTGCTGGGCAGACAGCTGCCCAGCTTTGCTCTGTCTTGTCTTCTGTGTTGCATACTTGTTCCTTTCATTTGGATCATTTACAAAACAATTTCTAATATTTACTTAAATGGTTCCTGTATCTGGATCATGTCCTGGTATTCGCTAAAAGCTCCAGAGCAATTTCATTTGCATTGTGTATTACAAGGTGCCCCGAGCCATTTGTAAGTTCAGCTTTTCCCCACTGAATCAAAATGTCATCTTAGCTAGATGCAGTGGTTCACACCTGTAACCTTAGCTACTGAGAAGGCGGAGATCTGAGGACCACGGTTCAAAGCTAGCACGGACTAGATAGTCTGTGAGACTGATTCTCCCAATTAACCAACATAAAGCTGAAAGTGGTATTGTGGTTCTCATGGTAGGTAGAGTGCCAGCCATGAGCAAAAACACTAAAGGACAGCACCCAGCCTCTTGAGTTCAAGGCCTAGCACTGACATAAATAAAATAAAACAAGAAAATGTCCTCTTTGTTATATTGTAAGTATTTATGGGGGATTTTGCTATGTGTTTTTCGCTTTTCCATTCTGGAACATGGCTGCTATGTCCCACTACCTTAATTTTTTTGTTTTTGTTTTTGTTTTGTACTTGTCCTGGGGCTTGAACTCAGGGACTGGGTGCTCTCCTTGACCTTTTTTGCTTAAGGCTAGTGCTCTAGCACTTGAGCCACAGCTCCACCTCAGGCTTTTTTGATAGTTAATTGGAGATGAGAGTCTTACCACTGTCCTGCCAGGCTGGCTTTGGACCAAAATCTTCAGATCTCATCCTCCTGAGTAGCTAGGATTATAGGTGTGCGTCACCAGCATTCAGCTTACCTTGGTTTTGATTACTGAAACTTTATAGGAGTTTTATTTATGTATTTTAAAATGTTGTTATAAAGGTGATATACAAAGGAGTTACAGTTATATAAGTTAGGTAAAGGCTGGGAATGTGGCTCAGTGGTAGAGTGCTTGCCTAGCATGCATGAAGCCCTGGGTTCCATTCCTCTGTAGCACATACACAGAAAAAGACGGAAGTAGCACTGTGGTTCAAGTGGTAGAATGCTAGCCTTGAGCAAAAAGAAGCTCAGAAACAATGTCCAGGCTCTGAGTTCAAGCCCCAGGACTGAAAACAAATTAAAAATAGAGGGAGAGACTTGAAAGTACTTAACATTGTCCATAAACTTGGTCCTATTGAGGTTAAATTCAGTGACTTAGTATATATAATTAGGCTTCTTAACACTATAGATAGTTTAAAGTCCTAAATAAGCCCTCTAAAAAGATTTTTAATAATATGTCTAAGCATGAGACAATTATGTTAAAAAATAAGTGTATTTATAAATGATGCTTAATATTAAAAAGCTATTTCATTGCTTTTTTTCTTAGGATCGCATGGCCATTGCCTGTGGATCTCGAGCTCATCTGGAGAAAGAGTCAGTTGCTCAGGTGAGACTTCTCTGGATGCCATGGGTCTTCAGCTTTTCTCCCTCTCCACATTTACACTTGACAAGGGAGAGGAGAGGCTGTGGGGTTATTCTCTTTAAAATGAGGTCTTCTTCAGCCTGCTTTAATCTTCCTTGAAAGATTTCAAAATTAATTTTTTTTTGTTTTAGAAGAGTATAGGAAAGGTAGATTTCATTTTGCCTTAGGATGTAAGCAGTTCTTCAGAGATTTTTTTTTTATAGTTTCCATTCATTTATACTATCAGGCAAACTTTCCCTAAGGATGTATTGTTGAACACTTGATTTGCCTTTTGTGTTTCTTCTATTGGCAAAATTATGTGATCTACATTTGAGCATTCCTAATCCCAAAATCTGAAATCTGAGACTTTGACAATTTGGCATTGCCATGGATAGAAAATTCCACATCATGAAACTTTGTTTCATGCATGTAATTATTAAAAACATTATATAAATTACCTTCAGTTGATATGAATAGGATGCATATGAAACCTAAATAAATTTTGTATTTGGACTTGGATCCCATCCCCAAAATTATCTCTTATACATATGCAGAATATTTCAAAATCTGAAAAACATCCAAACTGAAGCATTTCTGGTTCCAAGCTTTTTGGCTAAAGGATACACAGACTGTATTTTGAGCTACATTCAAAGTTTACATATTTTGTTTTCCTTAGAAAAACACTTTTCTATAAAATTTAATGAATCCCTGATTGCCTTTTAGAAAGATACAAATAAGTAAATCACTCTAAAGTCTTCCTTTTGTAGACTATGCTAGACAAGCTAGGGTAACTTCAAGGGAAAAGAATCTGTCTCATTAAGAATTATTCTCTGCCATTGTTTTACATCTTAATCGTGCTTATCACACTAAAATGCAGGTCTCATACAGCAAACCCAGAAAGTATCTATTTCATTCTACTGCTGATTCCATTAGACTAACATATGGATTGAAGAATAAGAAGTATTGTTCAATGTGCGGCCACAATTACCTGGGAAGGGTTTTTGTGTGTGTGCCTGTACTGTGGCTTGATCTCTGGGCCTCAGTGCTCTCTCAGCTTTTTTGCTCCAAGCTGGTACTGTACCAGTTGAGCCCCAGCTTCACTTCCAATTTTTGCTGGTTAATGGAAGGTAAGTGTCTCATGGACTTTGCTGCCTGGGCTGGGACGGGCTTGGAACTGTGATCACCAGACCTCACCCTCCTGAGTAGCTAGGGTTACAGGTCTCAATTAGCAAGCACCTGTCTGGGAAGGAAGAATTTCCTAATGCTGATCTAATAGGTCAGTCCAGTCACACTGAATCAGACTCTAGGATGCAACCTAGGGTCTGCAGTTGGAAGTTTTCAGATCACTTTTACACTCATCAAACTTTGAAAACCATTGGAATAAAAGAGTGTACTTTCCTCCCCAATGATTCTCGAGTCTCATAGAAGGAGATTCTGACTTTTTTTTCAAGATACACTGGTGGCAGTGTCCCACGTTTTCTTAAGGATTATGCATAGTGTGGAAACCTAGACTCTCCACTTCTTAAAAATTATTCTAACATCCTAGTGTTCTGTCTGCCTTATAAATTCATATTGGTTTTAGAAAACAGCTAATCTATTTGCCATAGGGAATGTGACACTCCCTAGAAGGGAAAAACAAAAAGATTTTCTAGCTTATCCAGCCTCATCTGTTTATTGATACACAAGGGATAGAGAAAAAAAGTTTATGTGCAAGATAGTCAGCACATTATCTGTAATTATAAAACACTAGAAAAGCTGATGCCAGTGGTCCATCCTGTAATCCTAGCTACTCAGGAAGCTGAGATCTTACGATCATGGTTTGAAGCCAGCCTGGGCAGACAAATCAGAGAAACTTGTATCTCCAACTAACCAGCAAAAAGCTAGAGTGAAACTGACTGTAGAGCTCCAGCCTTGACTAATAAAGCTTAGCAAGCCAGGTGCTAGTGGCTCACACCTGTAATCCTAGCTACTCAGGAGGCTGAGATCTGAGGATCACGGTTCAAAGCCAGCCTGGGCAGGAAAATCCGTGAGACTCATATCTCCAATAAATCACTAGAAAACCGGAAGTGGCACTGAGGCTCAAGCAGTAGAGCGCTCGCCTTGAGCTGAAGAGTGCAAGGACAGCGTCCAGGCCCAGAGTTCAAGCCCCACGACTGACAAAAAAAAAAAGCTTGGCAAGAGACAAAGCCAAACTTCAAACTCCAACACCTGCACCCACCCCACTCCCCCCAAAAAACCTAGAAACTAAAATGCTAAATTCTAATAATAGGAAAAATAGCTCTATCCCCCACATGGAATAAACAAGCAATAAAACTGATGATAATAAAAACTTTAGAACTCCCATCAATTCTGAAAACTGAATTTTTATTAGAAATAATATTTACGTGAGACATTGGTCTAAATATTCTTTACCTCCTTTTACTGGTAGCCAGTCATTAAGGAATCTATTCTGGTGGGGGGGGGGGAGGGTTAAAGACATAAGCTACTAGCTTGCTCAACTTTCTTGCTCACAGCTGTGACTACCATTTGAGCCACCCCTCCATTCTGCCTTTTTTTTTCCTAGTTAATTTGAAATGGGCTCAGGTGGGCATTTCTTCCATTGTTTGGCTTTGAACCTGGATCCTGCAAGTCTCAGTCTCCTGAGTAGCTGGAATTAAAAGTGTGAGCCACCAGTGCCTAGTTTTTAGTTTTTAAGATAATTAAATTATCAGTCAGCTTTCCATGTCACCTGAATTCTTTGTTTACATTCTATAAATTGTGGAGATAGCTTTGTTCACACTGAATCAGTGAGTGGCTTTTTCCTTCGTGATTTTAAATATGTTTCAGAACTTTACATAATGCTTACTCTATGACTCTGTTAGCTTCCTTTAGCAAAGTTAGTCTATCTTAAATGCCCCCTAGATTTTTAGATATTTTGTGGAGTTTTTAAAAATTGAAGTAACATCTTCTTGTTTGTGTTTTACCTAAATTGTTACATTTTTATATATGTTAGTACAAGTAACTATGATTCTAAAACAAAACATAGTTAAGTTTATTAACATCTAAGCAAAAGCACTTGTCAATATTTTCACTTGCTAACAAATAAACACCCTCAAATCATACTGAAAAGCATGCAAGAAGAATAGTTTACAGCAGCCAGGTAGCAGTGGCTCATGCCTGTAATCCTAGCTACACAATAGGCTAAGATCTGAGGATCACAGTTTGAAACCAGCCCAGGCAGGAAAGTCCATGCGGCTCTTATTTCCAATAAACTACTCAGAAAAAGCCGTAAGTGGCACTGTGGCTCAAGTGGTAGAACACTAGCCTTGAGCACAAAAAGGCTCTGGAATAGCACCCAGGCCCTGACTTCAAGCCTCAAGACTGGCAAAAAAAAGAAAGAAAGAATGGTTTACAGATACTATTTTCTTTTTATTTCTCTGTCTTTTAATTTCTTTTTGTTCTTCCCTATGCAATAAGTGCTTTTTTGGAGGTTAATAGGTTTACTAGGTCCTTAGGACTTCTGGGAAGCATTTTGCCCTGAGCAAGCCATTTGTGGGATTTCCAAAGTAATTTATGACAAGCTTTCAGCCCTTTCTGCCCAGAGAGGAAAGGCTCACGTACAGCACAGTGTAATTAGTGGTACTAGATGATAACAGGGGAGTATTAGGTCATTTCTTTATCTGTGCTTTCCTCCCCTGCCCTGTCACACAAGCAAAGCTTTAGTTAAGCCAGGTTCTGGTGGCTCACGCCTGTAATCCTAGCTACTCAGGAGGCTGAGCTCTGAGGATCACCAGCCCGGGCAGGAAAGTCCATGAGACTCATTTCTAATTACCCACCAGAAAACCAGAAGTTACACTGTAGCTCAAGTGGTAGAGCACTAGCCTTGAGCTGAAGAGCTGAGGGACAGAACCCAGGCCCAGAGTTCAAGCCCCACGACAGACCCCCCCCCAAAAAAAAAAATAAGAGTGCAGAAAGCCCTCCCTCAGCGTCCTTTATGAACCCACTGCTGAGATTCTATTGCCCGTGGCTGGTACCTGCAATACCACCTCATTGCATCCTGATTACAATTGTAGGGTGGCACTATCATTCCTTCCAGTAGTTGAGCAAAAGGAGCCTGGAAGTAACTCAAAAGGTCACCTGCTCATTAATAATGGAGCCAGGCCTTGCTCAGCCTGCAGCATTTCTCCCATGTTCTGTGGTGTTACTGCTTGTGTTCCTTGCTGATGGGCAAGTCATGTGGTAAGCCCTATGAAAAGCAAAGGACTGGTGGGTGCGGGTGACTTTCACCTGTAGTCTAGCTACTCAGGAAGCTGAGATCTAAGGATCATGGTTCAAAGCCAGCCCACGCAGCAAATGCACAAGACTCTCATCTCCAATTAATCATCAAAAAACTAGAAGTGGAGGTATGGCTCAAGTGGTAGAATGCCAGCCTTCAGAGAAAAGGCTAAAGGACAACACCCAGACCCTGAGTTCAAGCCCCACTACAAGCACAAAAAATAAAAAACAAAGACAAAGGGAGAAAGGGGCCCTATTTTGTAGTGGGAGATACCAGATTTCTGCATAGCCCCTCAGTAGGCTGTTTATACACATAAATAATGCAGCATTCCTTGAGGCCATTACCTTAATTACAGAACATTTTAAGAGAGTCTATGTTTTTATTTGTTTGTGTGTATGTGTGTGTGCATGTGTGTATGGTACTGGAGGCTGACTCTAGGGTCTCTAGGCTAATACGCTACCATTTGAGCCACTTCCCACCCCTGCCTCCATCCCATTTGTTTTAAATTCTGTTTTAGGGTAGTTTGTTAGTTATTGAGGTCAGAATGCATTTGCTTTGTCCTGGTCAGTCTCAAAGTCACCATCCTCCTGTCTCTGCCTCTACAGTTAACTGGAAGTACATGCAGGTACCACCATGCCCAGCTTCTTTTTTGAAAGCTTTCATGATGAAAGTCTACAATACAATTAATAATGTATTTCAAGCAGGTAATGTTTAATGAACAATGGGTTATTATTTAATGATATTACCAATAGTAAGCACTAGTAACAGCAGTGACTTCTCAGACGAATTCAAAACCCACTTTAATATCCTAAGTGTTAAAGCACTGGGTCTTTGCAGTGTATTTGCTTATTCCTGGTTAGAGAGCCTGGGTTTTTCCAGGTTGTAACTTTTGTTATATTTACTACCCCTCTTCTGCCTTCTCACGAGTTAGGTATCAGATTCCAGGTTCACATCTTAGGTTTTCCTTTTGCTAGTTCATGCTGGAAACTGTCCCTTTGTGAAACGGAAATGCGTGCCAGACAAAGAGGCATAATATCTGTAGCTGACTGACATGTCCTTGCTCATAGCAAGGACACATATTTCCTCCCACTAGGCTGAAGCATGCATGGTCTCTGCGTGACTCAGTCCCTTTGGGTTCAGTAAGTCCTCAACATTGACCTTGCCCTTTGCCTGTGAAGCCAGTGGGAACATTGGTGTCCACGAGTCACATAGGTGGGTGGATGAACGAGTAAATGCCCTGTCTACAGCAGGTGAAGCTTTCAGAGTCTAGAGTCTCCTGACAGGAAATGGAAAAGTCATTTCTGTTTTGTCTTTGTTTCAGCGTTCTTATTTCCGTACCCTTCTCATGTACGGGTTCCACTTTCTGGTGTGGTTCCTTTGTGTCAAAGGAATCAGGGACACACAGTGTGGGTTCAAATTACTAACTCGAGAAGCAGCTTCCCGGACATTCTCATCTCTACACATTGAACGATGGTAGGTTTCTTTCTGCCCAGGTGGTGTCTGGTCTATTTGATTACCCTGTAATGGCAGCAGCCCTGTGTCTTCAGAATGAGCGTCCAGATTCAAACAAAGCCAACACAGGTTTGTAAACAATCCCTGCCGACTGCTTGGATCTTACTTAGCAAACATCAAACTTAACATATGGTTTTAAAGTTATATGTTCACCGTAGTCAGAGATAGTATCAAATGAGAAAAGGAAAACATCCATGTCTCTTTGAAAAAGAAGAGCACAGAACCATGGAATGAATGGCCTGTTGTTTCTACGCCCCTCCCCTCCTTATAGGAAATGACTCTCTGCAAGGCCAGGGCTCTGAGCCCTTCCACTTTCTCCAAAACCTAGTCTATTCCATTTCTCTTCTCTGGCATTTTTAGCTTTTTCCTCTTACATCTTTCCTATCCTCTCCGTGGTCCCTGCCCTTCTGTTCTGGGCCTGTGCCTCCTTCCTTCTGCAGCTAACCTTTTCTTGAATGAGTGGTTTGTATTCACCGTCTTAGTCTCATTGTCTACTCCATTTCTCCCGTTACTCTTAGGACCCTGACATAAAGCCCAATGGTCTTGTTTGTTTGTTTTGAAACAAGGTCTTGGTATCTAAGCCAGGCTAGCTTTGAACTCTTGATCTCAAGTGCTAGGATTACAGGTAGTGCCACCACACCCAGCACTACCAAGCTATTTTTTAATTATCCAATATATTATTAACTATATTTGCTAAATTATGCAGTAGATCACACACACACAAAAGAAAACGTTCACCTTATTTCTTCTATATAGCTGATCCTTTGCAGCCCTTGTGGGTCATGTCCGCCCCTCCCCCCACACACACACACAAAAACCCATCTCCCCATCTCTGATTTCCCTCAACTCCCACCTACTGGTAACCTCCATTCTATGCTCTACTTCTAAATTCAATTATTTTAGATAGCAAAATAAATGACATCATGAAGCATGTCTTCCTGGGTCTAGCTTTATTTCATTTAGCATGCTATTATTCTCCAGTTCCATCTGTGTTTTTTTTTTCCTAATGACAGAATCTGTTTTTAAAGACTGAGTAATAGTCCTCTGTGTGTATGTGTGTGCCCATTTATCCACTGCTGAACACTGAGATTGATTTTTTTTGTAACTTGCCTGCTATGAACAGTGTCACAATGCACAGAGGAACAGAAACATCCCCCTGCCATACTGATTTCATGTTTTCCTTCCAGATAACTATCCCAAAGTGGGATTGGTGGATCCTTTGGAAATTCTCCTTTTAGTTTTTTTGAGGAATCTCTGCAATGATGGTGTTAGTTTATATCCCCCCCCCCCCAGTGTGCAAGGCTTCCGTCCCTTTTCATCTTTTCCATCTCTGTTCCCTTTTGTCTTTTTGACAATAGCTGTTCTGACAGATGAAAGTGATATCTCACAGTAAGTTTTATTTGTTTGCTGAGGCAAGGTCTGACTCTGTAGCCCAGGCTTACTCAACCTAGTGGTCACGCATCAGCCTCCCAAGTGCTGGGATTATAAGCATGCTCCTGTTTGTCTATTCAGGTCCCTTGACTAGTTTTTAATCTGACTGTCTTGGGCTTGCTTTCTATGGAGGTGAGTTTCTCGTGTATTTTTGGTATTAGCCCCTTCACAGATAGGGCTTCAAGGTATTTCCTCCCTATCCAAAACTTACTCCTACCCATTCACCCTGTGAATTTAATTCCTTTTCAGTTTAGTAGCTTTTTCACTTGATGTAATCCCATGTGTCTAGTTTGTGGTTGGTTTTATGACAAGGGTCATTCTCCTTTCTGCATATGGATATCCAGTTTTCCCAGCATCTTTATGTATGTACGTTCTTCAGTCATCTTTGTCTTCTTCCTGTTTCCTCTGTTCTCTCTTGTGGACAAATGTAGAACTTCCCTGTTGGTTCTGTCATTTAACCTTTTCCACTTTTGTTCTTTGGAGGAGATTCCTTCTATTTTTACTTCCTTCCATTTTTACTTCTGCTGCCAAACTTTTAATCTTCTAGAACTGACTTTTGGCATTCAATATAATTTTTTAATGTATTCTTGTTTCATGACTACAGTGCCTTCCACAGCTCTGAATCTCACTCACTGAAAATTCTGGTGTCTTCTGTTGCATTGTTTCTGAGGTCCCACTTTTTTTCCATGTTTCTTTTTATCGTTGTAGCCTTCCTTTTTTTTTTTTTTTGTGCCAGTTCTGGGTCTTGAACTCAGGGCCTGGGTGTTGTCCCTGAGCTTTAATGCTGAATACTAGTCCTCTGCCACTTTGAGCCACAGTGCCATTTCCAGCTTTTGGGTAGTTAATGGGAGGTAAGTCTCACAAACTTCTCTGCCTGGGCTGGCTTTGAACTGTGGTCTTCAGATATCAGCCTCTTGAGTAGCTAGGATTACATGCATGCGCCACTGACCCCCAGGCTATCAGGCTTTTCTCAGTGCCTTTGGCATGGCACTAAAATGTTCATAAGAATCCATATGAATGCCAGGCACTAGTGGCTCACACTTGTAATCCTAGCTACTCAGGAGGCTGAGATCTGAGGATCGCAGTTCAAAGCTAGCCCAGGCAAGTCTGTGAGTGTCTTATCTCCAATTAACCACCAGAAACCAGAAGTGACACTGTGGCTCAAGTGGTAGAGCTCTAGCCTTGAGCTTAAGAGATAAGGGACAGGCCCAGGCCCAAAGTTCAAGCCTCACGACCGACCAAATAAAAAAGAATCCATGTGTGTGTGTGGCTGCTTCACTGGTGGATCTCAGTAGGTTAAACTAGGTTAAACAAGGGGAATCCTTTTTTCCCCTGCCTGGGAGCTCTGGGTATAGCTGTCCACATTCACGGAATCAGGTAGGGAAGGTCAAAGATTTCTTTGAAAGCCTCGCCTGCACCCCTCCTAGCAGAGGATATTTGAAGCTTCTGCTCCCTAAGCATCCTTTAGGGCAGCCATTAGCTGCCTTTAGGCTTCTCCACTGCTGCTGTTTCTTTTCACTATCATCTCTTGTGTGGGGGGAGGGGAGCTGGGTTTGGGAGAATACTGGGTCTGGGCCTGTCTATATTCAGGGCCAGGACACTGTCCTTGAGCTTTTTTCTCAAAGTTTGCTCCCTACCATTTGAACCACAGCTCCACTTTGGAGATAAAAAAAATCTCACACTTTCCTACCAGGCCTGGCTCTGAACTGATGCTCAGATCTCAGCCTTCTAAGTAGCAGCTGTTCCATTTTTGTTGCCTTGGTTTCCATGAGAGTTGGGAGGGAACAGGAGGTAAGTGTTTCACAGGGTCTCTACATGCTTAGTTCCTCTGGATGTATTATTAAGGGAATAGGTGAACCAGAAACTAGTAGCCTCAAGGAGCGTGATAGGGCTGCCCCCCCCCATTTGCAATTTGCATGCCGTAAGTACCTTGATATATTGTAGTTGAACTTTTTGCCTTGGTAACAACATCTTACTTATAATATAGTGAAATGAGCTGTTTAATGAGGTAACTTCTAGGAAAGAAGGAAGGAAGGAAAGAAAAGAGCTGGACACTGGTGGCTCACATTTGTCATTCTAGTTACTTGAGAGGCTAAAACTGTTGGTATTTCAGTTTGAGGCCATCCCAGGCAGGGAGAACAAAAGAATTCATGAGAGTCTTCCCTGCCTCCCCTTCGCCCCGTGTCCCCCCACCCCCACCCCACATTGAAGAGCTGGACATTGTAGTGGCAAATGCCTATTATCTTAGCTACTGAGAGGCCTAAAGGCCTGTAAAGGTGGATTGTGCCCAGTGTGCACCAGGGCACAATTCCAAAAATAATAAGCAGAAGCTAGGTGCTGGTGGCTTATACCTGTAATCCTAGCTACTCAGGAGGCTGAGATCTGAGGAACACAGTTCAAGGGCAGCTCAGGCAGGAAAGTTCATGAGACTCATCTCCAATTAACCACCAGAAATCCTGAAGTGGCGCTGTGGCTCAAGTGGCAGGGTGCTAGCCTTGAGCTGAAGAGCTGAGGGACAGCACCCAGGCCCAGAGTTCAAGCCCCACAATCAACAAAATAAATAAAAAATAATTAGCAAACAGAAGTAGAGCAGTGGTGCAACTGTTAGAGGGCCATCCTTAAGTGGAAAAACTAAAGGAGCATGAGAGGCCCTGAGTGTCAGCCCTAGTACTAGCACACACATTCACAATCAATAACTAGAAGAACTCAGGACTGGAGGAATAGCTTGGTGATAAGAGTACTTGCTTAGCAATCACAGCCCCTGAGTTTTTCTAAAAAGCAAGAAAAAAAAAAAGAAAATCTAGCAAGAAAGGAGGTGCAGGATAGTTAAAAAAAAATAGTCTTGCACATTTCATTTGTTTCTGCTTTTTAAATGTAAGTGATGTTAACTATTCAGTGTGTGTATTCCCATTCCTTGTCATTCCTCGTGTTTTTGAATAGTCATGGGCTATATACTAACTGCATTAGAAAGAACTTAGTGATCTTATTATTCAGGTTATTGAGTTCCATTAGAAGTAACTCAGTCTACTAGCTAATATTTCCATGTGGAGTTAGAAAGGTAAGTGCTAAGTACCCGGCTTACTGGAATTTCCTCCTTAGTCTAAAAGGATCATCATTTTACATAACAAGTTAACAGAACTTCTATATAGTCTTTTTAAAAACACAACCCACTTTTGTACATGGTTTTATCAGCTAAATATTTTATTAGGATAAGGGGGGGGGGAAACAGGTTTTTTAAAAACTCAGTCTCATATCTCTATCCAAATACTTGGGGTTTAAGCCAACTGCATAATGGATAGTGACAGCACTGCAGCCAGAGCAAAACAAATTCAGGTTGTCTGGAGTTGGAGACATCCAGCACAATGGGGTTGTGGACATTCTTTCTTTCATGTTCTGGTCTTTAAATTGAACTCTGAACATTCGAACCATGCTCTGCTCTATACAACCTAGAAAAAGGTAGATGGGAGGGGAGAGGAGGCGCAGTGAGAACCAAGGATGAAAGCAAAGCAGCGACTGACTTCAGAGACAGAAGAGCATGGAGCAGCTTTAGGGGTTGTGGTGCAATTTCTCCTGTAAAAAGTAGCCAATGGCTCAGAAATATGCTAAGCAGCATTTGGAAAACCCTGTGGGCCAGAAATCATAACCTCCAGCGAAAAAAGATTTGACCTAAAGCTAGGAGCTGACTGAAGAAGAGCTTTGAAAACTACCTTGTCATGGAAGGGATAAGGTGGGGTCCAGACTACATGGTTTTAACAGTGTGTGTTGGACTTGGTATCCAGACAAGATGTCAAACCAGGTACCAGTGACTCATATGTATAATCCTAGCTCCTCAGGAAGCTGAGATCAGTAGATCAGGGTTAGAAGCCAGTCTAGGCAGAAAAGTCCGTGAAACTCTTATCTCCAATTAGCCACCAAAAAGCCAGAAGTAGAGGTATGACTCAAGTGGTAGAGTGCCAGACTTGAATAAAAAAAGCTAAAGCCCTGACTGAGTTCAAGCCCCGTTACTAGCACACATATACATATACACATGTACACACACACACACAGACTAGTTGTCTAGTTCCTGTGTATGTACTTGGCCATACCCAAAGAACACCTCAGACTCAGCCATAGCAGCTGGTCTCTCGCTTCTGTACTCCCCCCGTCCAGGACAGCACAGGGAAGGTCACAAGGACATGTTTTACAGAAGAAACCTCAATTCTTTGGCGGCAGGAGAAAATAACTGAGCTTCTAGAGCTTCACCGATTCCTCCTTCCTTAGCTCTCTGAGTGCATTGAAAATGCACTCTGTCTGTACCTTGACCCAGGCAAGGTTGTAGTTGAAAACTATCCATCTTGTACATTTCTAGGATTAAATTTTCTCTTGGAGCCCAAAAAGCGGTTTTCATTTCTGAGGGTTTCTGAGTGGTGGTGAAGATACAGCGTTTCCCATTTAAGTGTTATGTAATGACATTAAATAGCTCATTTATCTTGAAGTTCCCGATCCACTCGATGCTCAGCTATTTGACCTTCTCTGAGAGTCTGATCTTTAGCTTACAGGACCAGCCTCTGCCTTGTAAGCGTTAAACCTTGCCAAGGTAGGGATTGAATTATGTTCTCTTTGTCCTTTAAAAAAAAATAAATATCGATATATTTTCTATTTCAGGGCTTTTGATGTAGAACTGCTCTACATAGCACAGTTCTTTAAAATTCCAATAGCAGAAGTTGCTGTCAACTGGACTGAAATTGAAGGTGAGTCTAATATTTGTTTATCACTGATCTTGGATCATTCACGGGAGGCAGGGCAGGTATCTCAGAAAGTATGCTGGCTTTCATATTTCCCATCCCCTTTACCGGCCCACTGCCCACCTCCAGCTGCTCCTTCTGTGGTTCCAGTCCTTTCTTTGGGGTCTTTAGTAGGCCTCCCACCCTGGCTAAAAAAACTTAAGCCAAACCTTTTCCAATAGGCAGTGTCCCCATAGGTCATTGTTAATGACTACAAACCACTAGGCAAAACTAAAGAAGTTATAAGGATTTATACTTCACATGCCCATTGTCCATTCAGAGCCTTCCCCTTGCCCAATAGCACATACTATTTTTTCAGACATGTGTTCACTACCTTGCCGAACATGGGTTTTGAACTCGTGGACTAAAGCTGTCCTCCTGTCTCAGCTACCAAAGTGCAGAGCCATTTACCAAATTTGCTCTGATTCTATACATGTCTCCAAAAATGTGAAAGCAGTCTGCAATCTATAGTAATATGAATTCAACCATAAATTGTAATTATTCCTGTTCTGAGAAGCTTACCCAGCTCTGACGGCATAGATTTTTTAAGTATGCTCTAGTTTTCTCCTTTTCTTACATTAGAATGAATCTAAATAATTTGAAGGTATGGGAGCAGTGAATACAATCTGATGGGGAGTTTTTCAAAGTCTACCTCTCTGCTGGGTGCAGAACCAGTCTCAAGCAAGATTATACAAGCTATATACTTTGGAAGGATTTGAACCTCTGTTTGTCCCTTTCTTGGAGAGTCATTGTTGGAATGACCGTGTGGTGCTCTGGAATCCAGAACCCCGGATATTTAGGACAGAGAAAGGTTAGGAAATAGTTTCAAGATGGTCTAGAAGGACTTGCACCTTTAGGGTCTTGCGAAATCAAAGTGAATGTAAAGAAACTTAACCCCATTATTATTCAACTAGAATCAGATGGCTAGAAGTAAGTGAAAGAAAGGGTTATTAAGGACCAACTGTTGATCTGTGTTGATCTAGGCCCAACAGAGATCTTCTGGGAAGCAGCGGGGGAAGGGTTGAAGCCTTAAAATCCATGTCTCCATGTCATGTTTACACCATTTACTTATTTACATTGCAGAAGAGATCACTGCAGATACCTCAGCTTCCCCCCTTTGTGGAGTGAAGATAATATTAGTCCTCTGGTTAATCATATAGAAAGAAATTAACATCTGCAAAGGGGCTTTAGTGGGAATTTTTTAGAAGAAAGCTATTATAATAAATTCAGAGAAGTGCAAATGGCGTTCTTTGAGAATGAGGTATTACCAAACTGCTAATTAAATTACACTTTGCACTAGTTATCCATGTGTCTATGGGTGTATTATATGTGCTATAGTATGAGTGCTGTAGTCATTGTGGTTCATGAACCAGCACTGGGTCCATTTAGCGGTCTTCGTATTGCACCTTCCTAGAGTTCTTACTTCCCCAGATTTCTTCTTCCCCTATTGCAAGACCTCTGGCATTGTCACACTAGAGGTTCTTCCAAGTTTCACTTCAAGATGTTTGGTTTTGATTTTTTTTAACACTATTCACTTTGGCTTTGAAATCAAATAGAATAAAATCAAAATGCTAGAAACTTAGAAAGAGCATCCACACTTCCCCTTCCAACGGTTAGGTGGTTAATTAGAGGTAAGAATCTTCCAGACTTTTCTTCGCCGGCTGACTTTGAATCAGGATCCTCAGCCCTCAGCTTCCAGAGCAGCTAGGATTATAGTCATGAACTACCTGCACCCTACCTTTTTTGTTTTTAGACTGAGGATCTGATCCAGACATCCAAACATGCTAGACAATTGACCTAATACATTTTCTCCTGAGTTTGTTCATTTATTTTAATTTTTTTTATTGCAGGTTCTAAATTAGTTCCATTTTGGAGCTGGCTACAAATGGGCAGGGACCTCCTTTTTATACGACTTCGATATTTGACTGGAGCCTGGAGGCTGGAGCACACTGCAAAAACAAATTAGACCACACGCAGACTTTGGTTGTATGTTTATCCATCAATGTCACATTATTTCATTTGAAATTAATGTTTTCAATAAAGCAGGAATAAATGTATTGTCATTGTCTATCTTAGGATAATCTTGAAGAATGAAGAATGAACTATCATGAGAAAATTTTTATCTTTTGAGACAAAAATAGCTTCTCTTAAAGACATTGTATCATAGGTCAAATTTGCTTCTGCTTTAGTAATTTTATCACTGGAATTCTAAGAAATATTTTAGACAAAAGCAATTATTCTTACTCCAAAGTGCCTGCATAATTCTTATGAACTTAAGCATAAATCACAATTATAAGCATTTTCAGAGCCTTAAGAAATGAAGTTAATGTGCAAGCACAGATGCCTCACACCTGTAATCCTATCAGGAAGCTGAGATCTGAGAATTGCAGTTCAGAGCCAGCGACGCCAGAAAGTTTGTGAGACTCTTACCTCCAATTAACTGCCCTGAGTTCAAGCACCAATACCTGCACAGAAAAAAATAATTAATTGATAAAGGAAAAAAAAAGAAAGATAGAAGACAAAAAGTATATAAACAAATTGAGAAGCTAAAACTTACTTCAGTAGTTTGAACACCAGTAATAATAGGTCCTGGTGCTATTTCAAGGAGTCAGAAGCCCTTAAAAAATAGAAGTCATTTCTCACACAAAATTAGTATCTCTAGCTCTTTGCTTATATAGTAAACATATAAACAGTGGCTAAATGAATAAACAAACTTAATTTACTGCTAAATTTTAAGAGCCTTTAAGCTACTTACGTGAACACAGCAAAGCAAGGCTTATGGATGTAGAAACAAATAAAAAATAAATAGAAATACCGTGAGCATTTATTAGAATGTGATGTGTCAGCCTTAAACCAGCCTTAAACTCTTAAGGCAATGAAATGATTAATTTTTGTTCTTTTTAAGCACATGATTAAGATGTATATTTGAAACATTTTTGAGTGTCAATACTAGAAGATTACAGATTTCTGGTATCATCGATATGGTCTTACTTTTGTTTTTGTTTTTGAGTCATGGGGCCTGAACTCTGGGCCTGGGCGCTGTCCTTCAGCTCTTCAGCTCAAGGCTAGCGCTCTACCACTTGAGCCACAGCGCCACTTCCAGCTTTTCTTTTTGCTTATGTGGTGCTGAGGAATCAAGCCCAGGGCCCCTGACATGCAAGGCAAGTGCTCTACCACTGAGCCACCTTCCCAGCCCCAAATGGTCTTACTTTTTGAAGCACAGATCCATCTAAACACAAAAAAAAAAACTCTGAAGTAATCTGAAGGAAAGACAGTGAATTTCATTTACAAGGCTTGCTAGCCTAATGAGCAGCAATAACAAAAGTGGAAATATTGTCATTGGTGTGTATGTCTGAGTACTAAGGCTTGAACTCAGAGCCCATGCCCTGTCCCATGCCCTGTCCCTTTGTTTTTAAGCTTAAGGCTGGCACTTTACACCTTGAGCCACAACTCTACTTCCAGGTTGTTTGGGCTTTTTTGGTGGTTAACCGGAAGTAAGTCTCTGGACTTTTCTTTCTAGGCTGGCTTCAAATTGTGATCCTCTGATCTTAGCCTCTTCAGTTGTTAAGATTATAAGCATGAGCCATCAGAATCCCACTCAACCATCCTTTTAATATGTGCAATGACTGTCATCTGCATTTTACATACATTATTTAGATAAATCTGATCAAGCAATGATCATGCTGTGATATAAGTGTTCACACTTACTAAGTGAATAATTAGACATATACAAATAGTGTGCCCCAAATTACACCAATAGTGAATAGTCAAACTTCTACTGAAAGAAGAAATATAAAATTTTGGGGTAAAATTGAAATTGACAGAATAATTTCATTATTATGAGACAACTTGATTACTCCTGCCTTCTGATTTAGATTTTTTTTTCCTGGTAATTGGAGTTTAAAAACAGCTCTATACTTAACCCAACTTGCTTGCTTAGGCTAGGGCTCTACCATTTGAGTCGTGCCTCTCACCCAGCATTTTTTTTCTGGTTAATTAGACAGGGAGTTTGTGGACTTTCTTGCCCATATTGACTTCAAACTACAATCCTCCATATTTCAGTATCTAGGGTTACAAGCATACACCATCCATGCCTGGCTTTTAGAATATTTATATTTAAAGTTTATTTCACTTGAGTCTCACATAGAAATAGTATTTCTTGACATCTATAGTTGTCTGTCTCCATATGGCTTTTTACTTCTGCCATTCATAGTTGATTCTCTAGTTATGTATTCCATTTTCTTTATTCAGTTAGAGTGTGTGTGTGTGTGTGTGTGTTTGTGTGAGAGAGAGAGAGAGATGGTGATGGTGATGGTCCTGGGGCTTGAACTTGGCCTGAGCACTGTCCCTAACCTTTTCTGCTCAAGACTAGCACTCTACCACTTGAGCCAGAGTGCCATTTCCAGCTTTTTTGTTAATTAATTGGAGCTGAGTCTCACAGGTCTTTCTACCTGGGCTGGCTTTGAACTGTGAACCTCAGATCTCATCCTCCTGAGTAGCTAGAATTCCAAGCAAGATCCACTGGTGCCTAGTTTAGTATTTCTTTAAAAACAGAAGCTTTGTCTTTAATTTTATTTCTTTCTCTGCGCCATCCTAAACTGTGATTGCTCAAAAAAGATTTCCCAAATGATTGATTATATAACACTACCATTTCAATTCATTTGTCAAAAATAATTACATGAGTGTGATTATCCATTTTATGGACAGCTCAATCTCTGAAGGAACAGCCTAGCAAAAGGCCTTATTTTTATGCAATCTCAGGAACACCAAATTCACAAAATAACTTAATTTTGCCAATCCAATAAGAAATAAATACCTTTATAATTCACTGACATTGAAGTAAACTCCAGGTCATTTTCTAGATTTGATCCAATCTAGTTTCTGATAGGACTGTGGTCAGAAAAGAAGAGTCAGAAGTGGTCTTTAGCTGAGCGCCGGTGGCTCACGCCTGTAAATCCTAGCTACTCAGGAGGCTAAGATCTGAGGATCTCGGTTCAAAACCAACCCAGGCAGGAAAGTTTGTGAGACTCTTATCTCCAATAAGTCACCAGAAGTGGCACTGTGGCTCAAGTGGTAGAGTGCTCGCCCTGAGCTAAAGAGCTCAGGGACAGCACCCAGGCCCAGAATTGAAGACCCATGACCAACCAAAAAAAAAAAAAAAACTGTTGGGCCAAAGATGTAGTTCAAGTGATAGAGCACTAGCTCTGTGTAAGCAACCCTAGTGAGAGCAAAGGCCCTGAGTTCAAGCCTCAGCACACACACGTCCTCTTCCTAGGAAAACAAGGGGTTCTCTATCTCTGACCCATAAATCTCTATGATAATGGTAACAAGAAGTATGTACATGGAGGGCAGATGACTCACTGGGTAATACTATGGCAGGTTATTAAACCAGGGCTGCAAGACTCAAAACAACTAACTATATAGAGGTGAGAATTTATTCAAAACCTCCAAAATAGACTTGTAGGGGAAGTTAAAGACTTTGATATAACAATGTAGTAGGCCCCTAATCTACCAGGAATGTATCCCAGAACCTCCAGTGGGTTACTTTGGATAGTGTCTACAAAAGACCAGGTATATTGTCTTTTTCCTATACATACACATAGTAACAGTTAACTTACAAATTACAGTAAAAGATTTAACAATAGAACAATTATACCACATATTTGGGTACAAGTTATATGAATGTTTTCTTTTGCTTTAGACTGATGTGTGAGTAAAACTGTAAGGAAGAACTACTGTCCTCATTGTCATGTACCAAATCAATCCATCTCCCTGAGTACATACTGAGTGCCTAACAGAGCTACATTAAAATGGTGTCAAGGCCAGGTGCCCATTGTTGATGCCTGCAATCCTACCTACTCAGAAGGACAAGATCTCAAGGTCACAGTTGAAGCCAGCCAAGCAGGAAAGTCTTCCGGTGGTCCTTCCCCATATCAGCCTCCTGGGATTTAGGATTTCAACATGAGAAAATCAGGAGCAAGCCCTTAGTCCTTAGCACATATGAATCTACAAGGAGCCTAATTTTTAATATTTTTTAAAATTTAAACATTTAAAAAGTAAAGTAAGAGTTTATCTTTTTCTTTTTCCTAGTCCTGCTCTTAGTATTGCTACTACTTCAACAACTACTGGCTTGTTTCCTGAGTGGGGTGGGAGGGCTGTTGGTAGTGGGTCTTGAACTCTGGGCCCAGGTACTGTCCTGAGCTGCTTTTACTCAAGGCTAGCACTCTACCACTTGAGCTTCAGCGCCACTTCCGGCTTTTTCTGTTTATGTGGTATTGAGGAATTGAGCCCAGGGCTTCATGCATGTAAGGCAAGCACTCTTCTGGTTTTATTTTTTAATGAGGGATTTTTGTAAACTCAAAATATAAAAGTCTAAGCTGGCACCAGTTGAGATCTAAGGACTGCAGTTCCAAGCCAACTAGTATATGTTCTAGAAAAAATATATGCTTGCAATTTATATTTTATTAAAAATTGTTTAACAAGCTAGGCACTGGTGGCTCATGCCTATAATCCTAGCTACTCAGGAGGATGAGATCTGAGAATGTTGGTTTGAAACCAACCCAAAGTGTTAAGACTCTTATCTCCAGTTAACCACCAGAAAACAGAAAGTGGCTCTGTGGCATAAAGTAGTAGAGCACTAGCCTTGAGCAAAAACTCAGGCAGCACGCAGGCCCTGAGTTCAAGGCCCACAACTGAAAAAAAATAAAAATTAACAAATGAAACATGCTTTGTTGGGGTCTGGAGGAGGAGCAGATGAACAGAGAGAGGAAGGATAGGCAAATCCAGGTACTGTATTCAGTATGCATATATAGAAATGGTACTATGAGGGTATTTGAGAGTAGGAATGGGCCTGGGGAAGCTGATGGAGAATGATGTAAGAGATGAGATAGATCAAGATGCACTGTACTCATAGTCTGACTTATGAAATTGAAAACTCTTTGCACAACTACTGAGTAAAAAGTAAAAATAAGAAACATAAACTACACTGGACATTGATGAAAATGAACTAAGCAACTCAAAGGCAGGAATGGGAGAAGGAAAGAGGAAACTTACACTA